GGATACTGTCAGGTTGCCCAAGCCTAGACAGGGGAAGTCGAGAGGCAGAGGTCGGGTTCAAACCACGGACCTTCCGGTCAGTAAATTCGCGCTCTAACTACTCGTTCCATCTCGCCCCCTTTTTCCTATGAAAAACTAATGCGCAATCTAGAAAAATTTAAATCTTCTCAAGTGATTGCTAAGCATGCTCGGCCGTATTTTGTTTTTCATAGATAGGTACCAATCATGGCAAAGTTTGTGTTGGTCGTGTTGTGACCCAACTTCCTTCGGATACAGACGCGGCACTAAACCTGTTGTTGGTCGACGCGAAGGGGAGTCCATTGCCCGTGCGATTGTGTAACATTGGAAAAGTAAGGAACTCTTCGTGTTTGTGGTAGTATACTGTGAAGCTTACTCACATGTGCAGTCATTTTTATTCTATGTGAGGCATCAAAGCATGACCCTGTCAATTTGTCCTGGCTCAATGTGTTTGAGAGTTGTTTGGTAACTTGCTTTTAGCACGCCCAAAACCCTCAAGTGATAGGCTCTTCAAAGTATTAGTTGGGACTGTCGGCTATCAATGCGGCCTGATTCGCGCATGCCTGCATTCGGTTGGAGAACCTGGGAAACCGGAGTTGACAGTATATGTGCATGACAGGTCAGAATGAAAACGACTAATTTATCCAGCGTTGACCTCTGCTTATTGAACTGTGAAACGCAAGCGGGCGTCGTAGGTGTTAACCGCTCTGATTTAGGTATTGGTTATTTCACTGTCATTTATTTTTGAAACTTGGTTCGAATGTCTGCAGCTCTCTCAGACAATCTCACTGTTCACCAGCAGTCAGATTAGTTGTAACTTATGCACAGAAGCCGACAGAGATACGGTTGCACCGGATGGCGCATTCAGAATGTCGTCATATTCTAGAACGGCTCGAGATGTCTCGTTACAATTATTATTTACATATCCCAGGAAACTTAGTCCTTTCTTTAATGGTATGCCCACCCAATGGATCTCAAATTGGAATTGAGCCTTTCGGGATCTGACCACATTATCAGCCTGTTAGCCAATAATGGAACCGAACTAAACAACCTCTTAACCCCGTGCCGTTTCATCTTTTCATCCCCCAGTTTACATGTCTGGCACAGCGCCCAAACTTTTCGATGTCATTCAGTACTGATACAGTCAGATGAAAAAAATATCGCCTGGATGAATGCAACAAGTGTACACAAAAGTCACTTGCTCACTAAAAACACTTGCATTTGGACGGCCAGAAATAGTGTATCTCTCAGTTGCACTGAGGCGTTGGATTCTCGCTCGTTATTGACAGTAACCACAACCACACCAACCAACCACCACAACCACGACCACCAACCCACCGCTACGCACTACTACGCTCCACAATAACGCACTGATGTCACCTCGATTGATGATGAAACGTTTGCAATCAAATTGCCCAGCTCAGCGAACAAGCCAACGACTATCATCTACGATACCTGAGCTACCAACATTTTCCTCTGAAGAAGACAGTAACTAAGTTAGGTGGATGAATGGTCTTTCTTCACATAGACCCCGAGGCTCCAGGACTGATGGTTTAGCCCGTCTGTACATAATGAAACCATCCGAAGCAGAAGAGAGGCTGAGGTAGTGAGCTAGTCATGATTTTTTACGATAAATTTTGAGTAATTTTCACTTCTCTTTATGGGCATGCTCCAATAAGCTCAGAGATTGAAACGTGGTTCCTCTATCGGTCTCGGTCTTGCTGATATTCTCTCGTTGCTTCTTTCTGGGCCAGATGAATCTCAAAGTTTCTCACTTCTCGCTTTTCGTTGCTTCAATCTACATACGAACAATTTGCATAAGTGCTCAGTATATCTGTTGAGCTCTTTGAAATGACCGATATTTCCTTTTGTTCCAAGGGTCTTGGACCGGTACGCAAGGACATTTTGGCCATACCCCACCCTTTCATTGAACAATCTCCCGTACAGGGTCATCTTCTTCGCGCAGTCCTGCTCCTCCAGGCGAAGTTCGGTAGTGGTACGGACGAACTGACCACTAAGCTTTTGAGCAAACTACAATTGGCGTCCACAGACCATACAGATGAAATTACAAATGAAACCACAGCAGATACTATTCCCCCCATTCCAGATATCACATATTCTTTTCTCCGCGTTCCCCTCCCCGACGTCCTTGTGGTCAATGGTCAACCAGTGGGTGGGTCGTGGACTGCTGTGCCAGTTCTGCAAAGTGTTTTCTTCAGCGCAGTCTAAGGCAGCAACTGTCCCGTCTTTGGGCATTGTGATTTACCGTCAGCTTGGAAGAGCACCTGTAGATTCTTTCCACCGTCATTCTTTATCCATCACACGTGTATATGTGCTCACTGCTACCGACGACAAGTGATCATCACCCCTATTTTGTCCATGAATAGGTAACTAGCACGTATACAATTCACCTAGTTTTATCTGTCCCCAGTGTGGACCCGAAAATAAAACCTTTAAGAAATATGTAACCTTTTCATTAAACAAGTGGGAGGTACCACTAACGGCCGGAGTTTCTGACGCTCACTTTGGCGCGAATATCGAACATCTACATGTTGATTGGAAGCCTGCAGACACCGAAGCCGGAAGGAATTTCACAACTATTCATAAATGGTGTCCGAGTAGGGTGTATGCATGCTGAGTCGATGTATATCACGAGGAAACCAACCTTCGTGCCATCAGTTATCCCTCCAATTAGCATTCATTCATTGACTTTTCACTGAGGCACAAATAGTGCTGCTATTTTCGGCCGCGTTTCATTATCTCGGAGCTTTGCTGGGATCCGAACAAATAGGTTTTTGGAACGTATTCTATCTCAGCTGCTTAGGAGTGTATGTAGTTTTGTACACAGGCATCAGCTATGCGATGAAATAAAGTCAGATGCTTGACTGTAATTTCCTCCGGAGAAACCAATTGGCCGGACTTCCGAAGCTCCTTTAGTTTAAAAGCCCTTATTGGTTCTCTTCAGACAACTTTAGGTACCGTCAACTGGGAACTGATGAGCTTTTCGGGGGTCATCTCGGATTGTGGCCGCGGTTGTGGAAAGTTATCCTAATAATGTGTTTCATGCCCTACTCTGGTGTACATGGTGCCGGAGCATTTTAATGGCAGTTTTGTAGCATTGTTTTTAAATAAAAACTATTCAGGAATATTCAGAGTTTTCCGTCGACAAATACACTCGTTTGTATTCCAATTTTTATTTAACAGGATACATGAATCCCAACCGAATCTTTGGTTTGTGGTGTTCTTCAACTGAATGTGCTGCACCAGGACGCCTCGTTTCAGTTGGTACACTTCGAGATATTTCATAGACGTAGCACTCTACTCACAAGGCTGCTGGGAACTTTTCGAAAACCGACGATCGATGTCACCCTTTTTGGGGCTCATCAGGCGCACATAGTCCCTGAGTTTTCGTCACATCCAAAATCATTCCTTAGTTGAATCGATTCAATATACACCAACAATGTTGCGTTCCTGAATTCCGCTGTGGAGCGGTAATGACTATAAATGAGACAACTACCTTCATTCATGCATTTTGTGGGCAGGCAAGTCTATGGGTTATCCACTGTGATGGGGAACCGAGAGTACAGACGACCCCCGAACAGCGGACGCGTCCAACGAAGATCTACACAAACATACATGAAACAAAGTTTTCTAACAGCCCTTTTAGTGCACTTCCATTCACGTGCCCTTGATGGACAAAGTTCCAGTAAACGACCCTCCAGCATTCAAGAACAGGGGTCCCCGCCCCCACTGCGTGATGCTTACATGTTGAGAGCTCTTTAATGCCGTGATACACGTTACCCATTAACACCAATAGAACCAGGACCTTCCTGTGAAATTCGTCTTCAGTCCTTAAGGTCCTTGAAGACTGCATAAGTGGACGAAACCCAGGTATAGGATAATGTAGGCATTCTCATCCAAACGGGCCGATTTTGCCCAATTTTACCCCGTGAATTTGATTTCCACAGGAGTATGCTAGACAGTATTGGGTGTGCGATGTTGCACTGGATATTGCTAAATACATCGGCAGCAACACTGATACTTCACTGCTGTAAAACTACAATTCATTGGGCAAAGGTCTGACAGTCCTTTTCCAGTGCAAGTTGACATCTGACGTCCATAAAGTAGTTCTGATTAATTTTTGGATCTGTGAGCTTGTCGGGTTCTATACGAGTTTTCCACCGCTAGTGCAAACTTTAAATTCGAAAAGAGGGGCGAACGGACGAATGCATGATCAGAATCCACACAAATATCCCAGAGGCAGTGACAACAGCTGGTCCACACCGTCGATAAATGATAACGCTGTGAATTGTTTGAGTCTGTGGCTTTCACGCTTTTCGAGGGCACCAGTAGTCGGACGATTATGGTGATTCTGGAATGCAGTACTGTATAAAAGCGGTTTGAGGTCAGTACACAGCTGAAGCAGTCGTTCAACTTTTTCTGTACGTACCTAGTCCAATCTAATTCGATCACTCAGCCGAGTCTTTGATACGCTAAAACCGCCCAGCTGTGAGTTCAATCATCGGGTAACCACAGTTATGTCTGAGCTTTTAATCCGCCGTAACAGGGTACCCCAAGCTTGAATAGATCTTTTGGTAGTATCTGAACTACAGTCGGTTGGGGTACAGTGAGGCAAGACGCTGACAACAATCAATTTCCATTTTTGCCACACTCCTTACAGACGTCGTCGGACGCACAGGCGACTATCAGCGGGTATCCAGTCAAGCAGGGACCATTCGCTCCCGTGACGCAGAATGATGTCGGCCCGAACACGGCTTGTATTAGCAGTCTCCAGGTCGCTGGAAGTGCTCAGCAGATGGCACCGGTTGACTCGGAGATGTTGTCACCAAGACCGATATAGGACGAACGGGGTAGTCAGTCCTAACGTCTGAGTCGACAAGGCGACTATTATTAGTGGGGTGATGGGAGGGAAGAAAATTACGTGTGAAAGGAGGGAGACGACAGAAGTAACCTGTTTTCTCTCTACCCTTCTGTATGAGGCAAATAAGTTTACTCCACTGATGAATCCACGCGACAGTCGATGTGGAATGAGAACTTTGTTAGTTGTGAGAAGCATGCTTGTATGCAAGCTGAGATACTGCCAGGATACCGAAGCCTATATGGGACGACCAAAGCCCCCAATCAAAGCCTGTGGTCTAAAGGCCTGACTTCAAGGCATTCAACCCCCTAACCTAGAGGACAAGGAGATTGTCGGACAGACCTCTAACCGTCGCCCAACTTGGTGTGTGCACTATTATGGCATTATTATGATGTTATCCTGTCGATGTTGACATGTACATTGTCTTGGCTTTTGGTAACCTAAGCACGCTGATGTACCTCTTATGAAGGCACTTGGAATGACAAATCTAGTAAACTTCACAACTAGAGGCCAAACTAATCCTGACCATGTTTTCACCAATGTTGTAGTTCACAGCAAGTCAGAAGAACACGTAAATACTGACACGGGTGTATTGTGTACACGCGGCCGACTTGGTCCGCTTTCTTGGCGAGTCATCACCATCGACAACATGACATCAGTGTTCAACACTGATGCTTCACTGCCGTACAACCATGATTTATTTGTAAGCCTTATTGTAAAGAAAAGAGTAAAGGTTGACGGG